CATACCCAGGGCACCAAGGCCACATTGGGGGGTATTTGTGCCTAGGCCACCATGCCCAGGAGCTGCCTGGGTAGTGGGCTTTAGGGAGGAATCGGGTTGGGGCCAGGTGGGCTAGAGCTAGGGGCTGAACCCTGGGTTCCCCTGTCTGTTCTCCTGCTCCCTGGGGCCTCTGCTGGCGGGGACCTCCTGCCAGCCCAAGCTGCCAACATGTCTGCCAGCACTGCCCCCTCTATTCCCGGCCTTGGCTTGAGGCTTGGCCCTGGCTGGAAGCTCGTCTGGGCTGTGTGAGACCTGATCTATATTTCTGCTACCTTGGTTCCTCAGATTGGGTCTCCAGGGCCTGGTTGAGGGGGCTGCTGCCAGAAGCCTGGGGGTGTAGGCAGTGTTTGGTGCCCAGCTGTGCCCTGTCTGACCTCATGGCCACCCACAGGCTGGCACCCCCTTCCCCCAAGTCTGCACTTTCAACAACTGGAGCGAAGCACAGTGTTGAAGTCAAGTTCGGGCAGACTTACTCTTTGTGGAACCTTGGGAAGGAGCCTGGTACAGTCTGGGTTGTCACAAGAGGCACAGACCTATGCCACTGTGCCCTACCAGTCCTTCAGACCCCACCCTCCTATCTGCCTCCCACAGGCCCTGGCCCCTGCCCCCACGTTTGAAATGAATTGATCTGAGTTAAGTACTTCAGAAGTGCTGCACTGTGGAAGAGGTATTTAAGTCTTGGCTCCCAGAAATATTTCTCCCACAGTCTTAGTCTCCAAAGCTGCCCTGTAATTCTAGAGAGGTTACTTGGGAGGTGCCAGCCATTTGGAGCCTAGAAGTGAGCGGTGGAGCTGTTTTGCTTTGCTGGGAGCTGATCTGGGAATACACTGTCCAGGCTGAGGTGGCCCAGCTTCCTCTAATCTGTTTCCTGCTCAACTTCTGTTTCCACTCTGAGTGCTCCCCAGCCCTGTCCTTTTGCACCAGGTGGGAATCTTAGGTTGCTTGATGAGACCTGGACTTCACCAGGAAGTTGAGGGAGAGCTGGGAGCTGGGGCCAGCCCCGTTAGACTCCAGGGTAACAGTGGAGGTTAGGAGGGCATGAGAGGGAAGAAGTTATGAAAGCAAAGTCAGGGCTGGAGGTGTGTCTCACTGGTAGAGCTTTTGCCTAGCATGCTAGAGGCCCTGGGTTTGGATGTCCAGTGCAGGGCTAAGCGGAGTAAAGTAGGAGTCACCTGTTTGGAGTTCTGGGCTGAGAAGTTTGGTCACCTTGGGAGTGATACACTGCTCAAAGGCAACAGCAGCTGCCTCCCAGTCAGTGGAGGGCCAGGCCAAGGAAGTCTCTGGCACCTTCTGCACTGTCTTCCCTGAAGCAGTGACTCAGCCCCTCTGCTCAGAAGCACAGTGCCTTAGCACCTCCACTTCCAGCTTTTTTAGACTTCTGGGATTTTTTTTCTGGATAGAATCAAGACTCTCCTCTTTTCTGGAGTTGTCAGAAATCCTGGAAAGGACCTCCCTCCCCCAATCAGGGAGGAGCAGAGAGGCTGGCCCCCTTCTGAGCCATCATGCGCTGAGGCCATCCTGCAACCTTCCCCCATCTGCCCTTGCCTCGGGGGTCTCTCCTGAGAGTAGCTGCTCCAGAGGTTTCTCAGTAGAGTTGAAACAACTCTCATTGCTTCAGGTTTGCACCGTCCTTTGAAGGGGTGAGATTCTCTACCTCAAACTAATACAGAACAGCTGCTCATGACCAGGTTCTAGGTCCTGGGCTGAAGGGGAGAGAGAGAGAGAGGAGGACCTTGGAGAGGGTGGATGGGGGGAAGGGCAAGATTGTAGAAGATGATCCCGATGTGGACGTTGGGTGTCACAGGGCACGGCAGGTGGTAAGGAGTGCCCCTTGCCCAGCTCTGGCACCCGCTCCCCTCCCTGACTTCTCTCACTCTGTGTCCTGTGGTACATTCCCTGCAGCAAGCTGATGCTGATGCTTAGCTGCTGCTTCTCATCCTCTGGACCCTCAGGATTCTTCCTCCTTGTCAAGACCAGGGTCTTGACCCAAAGCTTTTGGTTGTCATGAGGCAAGACGGGCAGATTTGAGTGACTGCAGCCATTAGTCCACCTTGGCCCTTCATTGCCCCCTTCATAGAAGTGCTTCCGCAGGAGAGTACTGAGCACCCTGGTCAGGCTCTGCCCACCCTGGCCTCAGACTCTCCCCTAACCTCACTACCTTCCTGGATGCATGCGAAGGAAGCGGCCAAATGTAGTGGCCAGTGGGAGCAGCAGCAATTGCCACTCCAGCCTCAGCTAGGTGGTGGGGGTGGGGCCTCTAACGGGGGACCCTGAGTCCAGCAAGGGCCTGAACACAGGGGTTGTGTTGGGTGGAGAGGGTGAAGGTGCAGAGGTGTGGGCCTTCTTTAAGTCCTGGTTGGTCCCTCACCTGGGGTCACATCCTGTTTCTGCCTGCCCCAACCCCAAACCTACTGCGTAGAAGGATGGTGTGATTGTCCAGATTTGGAAGCCTTGGGTTCTGCTCTTGACCCATCAGGGAGGAGGTTGCTGCTGCTCACAAAGAGGTGAGGTATGGGTTTTGCTAGGGCCTCAGTTTCCCACCTGGCCTTGATTATGAGGAAGGCTAGGGCGAAGAAGCTGGGAACAGCTGGAGCAGTAAGATAGGATGGTGCCTTCCTCCCACCTGCAGCTTCAGTCAGGCCTGTGTTGGGGCCCAGGACTCTAGGATCTTGCTTTCTTATTTGTGGAGAGGCAGCTAGAAGAGTTCAGGCCCCAGTTTGAAGAGGGCTGAGCCAACATGCATTTGTGTTTCCATGTTGGGCCCAGGACTCTGCTCCAGGGTGCAGCCGTAGCTGTGTCGCTTGTGCCCAGTCTCCCCATTGTCGCAGTGTAAGAGTCACAATGAAAAGGGACTTAGCAGTTATCAAAAAGAGTTACCTGTGTCACCAAGCACTTGTTAGAAGCCCAGCCTAATGAATTTTTAAAAAAATGTGCTAGATAGTTATTTGCATCCCTTCATGTTAGCCTCACATCTTAATCCCATTTATAAATGAAAAAGTGGAGGCTGGGAAGATTAAACCACTGAGCCGAGGTCACACGTCTCTTCAGCAGCCAGACACAACCAAGCCTTCTTCCAAAACCAGAACTTTTCAGTCTGGTTCTCCACTGTGGCCCTGAACTGGAGCTTGTCCTACCTGTCTGATCTGTGATCAAAAAGAAAGAGCCCCTGGATTCAAAGGTGTGAAGGGTTTTGCCCACGGGCACAGTGATAAAGTGATAAAGGCGAACACAAACCCAGGCTTCCAGGTGCCTGCCACCTACACCCTTGCCCTGCCCATGCCCTGAGCTTGGGCTTCCCAGCCCTTTCAGCTGGATAGGCCAGGGTTCTTCTCCTCACCCGTTCTTTCCCTCTACCCTGCTTCCCTCCTTGCTGGCCCCTCCCAGCCCCCACCTTCCCGCTTTCCCGGCTTTCCCGCTGGTAATTGCTTCCATCTGGCCTGCCTGCCGGCTCCTTTTCCTTTGGAAAGGCACTCCCGGCCGCCCACATGGCTGCAAGGACTCATCCGGCAACCGCGGCGACACGTGGGGAAAGGGAGGAGCCCTAGTGGGGTCCGAGCACAGGGAACCTGCCAAGGTGGCTGCTTCCAGCGTTGGCATTCCCAGACTCCTGCCAGGTAGGAGACCCTTCGCTGCCTGGCCCTCTTTCCTGCCCTGTCTTGGGCTGGCTTAAGGCCAGAAGGGTCCTCCCAAGACCCATTCTGTGTCCAGTAAGAGCTCCCTTTCCGTCTTACAGACAGGCTCAGCAACCACAGCCCTCCCCGTTCCTTTGAGGTTGTTCACATCTGGTGGAGAGATGGCAGGAGGGAGACAAGTAGGGGCCAGCAGGGTTCCCATTGTCGGGGATCCCCGGGAGAGAAGCCATGCTGGACTGTTGGTGGCAGAGCCTGAGGGACCCAGGGAGCTCTGGGCTCCTGAGAAAGGAGGTCCTCAGTTCATCTGATTCCAAGCAATTGACACAGAACCAGAGAGTTGGAGCCTCACATTTTCTTCAATATAAATAAAATTCACACTAATAGTGCATTAGTGTTCTGTTGACTCCCTTGCCGGAGGCTCCACAGAGGCTACAAGGGAAAGATAGCAACAGGGTCCTTAAGGTGCCACTGCAGTTCAGGAGCATTTTAATGTGGGGGCAGGGTGGGAGGGTTCCCTGTCATTGCAGATCTTCGAGCAGAGTGTTGTGACCTTGACAGGGACAGTATGGAGGAGATGCCAGCATCGGTTGGAGCGTGTCTGGGGTGTGGAATGAGTTTGAACACTTTTAAGGCATTTTCTTCTCTGAGATTTGAGGATTTTCATGTGAGCTCCAGGAAATTGTCTGCCTTGTTCACTGCTATATTCTTTTTTTTTTTTTTTGGTACCTGGGATTGAACTCGGGTCCTTGGGCTGTAAGGCAGGAGGTGGAACCACTAAGCTAAATGCCCGGCCCAGCTGCTATATTCTTAATGCCTGGAAGATGACTGGCAAATAATAAGTGCTTAACAAATATTTGTTTCACAAATGAATGGAAAATATAGCTCAGGTCTTCTGTCTTTACACTGTCCCAGCCTTGCTTCCTCCTTTTCTGAGGGCAAAAGAACAGAGCTTCCTTTTTGCCATTGACCCGTGTGACAGACAGCAGAGGGCAGGCAGGAGCTCAGGGGGCAGGCAGGAGGCTGCCCCTGAAGAGGGCACGCCCAGCTTCAGCTGATGACATTTCTGCCCCTGTCACTCCCCTCTAGTCACCTTCAGGCCCCTGAACTGTCTGGCCTTAATAGTGCTACCTCCTGTCTCCATGTCAGCCTTCTCCATATTTGGGGTCCAAGAAAGACATCCCTGGGTGGCATCTGTGGAGTAAGGGTTCTCTCTTTTTTTGTGTGTGGTACTGAGGATTAAGCCCAGGGCCTTCCACTGAGCTACATCCCCAGCCCTTTTTATTTTTATTTTGAGACAAGATTTTGCTCAATTGCCCAGGCTGATCTCAGATATTCACTCCTCCTGCCTCAGCCTCCTAGAGTGCTGGGATTACAGGTGTGTGTCATCATACCTGGCTAGCAATTCTACTTTTATTCCTTCTTCGTACTGGCTTTCCATTTCCTTTTTTTTTTTTTTTTTTTAACTGCAGCAGAAGTTTTCTTGGCTTTCTTTATTTGGTCCCAGTAAGTGTTCTCAGCTTCCCTGTAGCAGGGCACATGCATCCACACCTCCTTGCCTGTGCCCCGTGTGGCTTGGGCACCTGTAGTAATGGCCTTTCTGTGTTGCTAGTGTCTGTCTCCGAGCCCCAAGCCCCTGTTCTGTGAAGGCTTTCCGACCCCCTCTGTGTTCCCCACTCATTCCTGTGGCCTGGAGAGGACGCTGGGCTGCCTGAGCTCAGTGGAGCCCAAGGTGAGCCCAGGGTAGGTGGTCCTGGGCAGGGCCGGAGTGGTGGGGTGGAGCCAGAAGAGTTGTATTCCTGGAAGAGGTTGCAGGTTCTCATCCTCTCCTCCTTGAAAAACTTTAACTGAGCAGAGCTGCCTGCCTTTGTTGGCTTTGATTAGTCCTCCAGGAAAGGAACATGTCTGAATGAGATGGTGTTTCATGTAACACTTGGGCTGGAACCTAGTGCTCTATAAAAGCTGGCTGGTCTCCTTCTGGCACTCCAGGGTAGGACCCAGAGGCTAAACAGTGCCTGCCTTTGGCCAAGGGAAGAAGGGCAGAGGGCCAGGTCGGTGCTTCTGTCTCCTCTCTGTCCAGCTGTGTGCCCTCCGGTAGCTTGCGGACTTGGTGGGCTTTCAGTCAGCACATCTGTTCACTGGGGTACAGATAACAGTATCCGCCCCACTGCAGAGACTGTGATATACAAATGAGACAAACATTTGTCCAGCTGGGAGAGACCTTGGCGGTGGGCTGACAATTCCTGGGTGATTGGGCAGGACCCGTGACTGTCTCATTCATTTTTGTATCTCCAAGCACCTAGCACTACTCTGGCCCACAGTAGCTGTTCCATTTATGTTTCTTTTTTGCCAGTCCTAGACCAAAGGCTCAGAAAAGTCACTTAATTGTTCAAGGTCACAGGCAGGGAAGAGGCAGAGCCCTGTCTGGTTTGTGGGAAGCCGTAGGAGTGACTCCAGTTCTCTGCCCCTCCCTCCCACATCCAACCCTGACAGGTACTGTACCATTCTCATGCAACCCGTCTGTTCTCCGGGTCTGGGATTGTCGAGGCTGGAACCCTGCAAGGGGCATGGTAGGGCCCTAGGACTGGGTGGGCTAAGACAGGGTCTGGAAATGCCTGTTCCACCGGACCAGATGGGCCTGCTGTGTGCAGCTGAGAAAGTCGGGTCTTCTGGGTGGGAGAGCAGGGACACTGCTAGAGTAGGGGAGACTGTCCTCTGGGGCAGTGTGGGCCCTTCTCTCCAGACAGCCTGCCCCTCTTCCTTCTCCCCTCTCTGGTCCTTTCCTCTTTCTCTTTTTTCTTCAGTTCTTTTCTGTATTCCTTGAGTTTCCCCCTCACCTTTTCATTCATCCCTGTCTTGGTTTCTGCCTCCTCTTTCTGCCCTTCCCTTTGTCCATCTCTCTCCCCTCCCACCCAAGGCCTCAGCAGTCAGGTTGTCCTCATAGGGGGAGGCTAGGTTGGTTTCTCTGAAGGCCAGGGATGCTCAGGGGAACCTCTGCTGGAAGCCCAGAGGGAGCCCCACATGCCAGCATTTCTGGTTTCTTAGAACAGAATGGCTCTGTTGGTAGTTGGGTGGGTGAAGGGATTGTGGCTGCCCAGAAATTCAGTCCTTTGACCCTCAGCACCACTCCCTGGGCCTTTACTCACCTCCTTGGACATCTTGGGCAGGTAGGTGGACCCTCGTGCACCCTTGGCCAGAGGGTCTCCCAATAAGGGCTGGTGGCAGAGCTTCCTGGCCTGACTTCCGCCCTCCGGCTTCCTCTCTCCAGCTTTTTCCCCCAGAGGTACCTGCTAGGATGGAGAGAGCTGGCCAGAGCAGAGAGGAGGGTTCTGCTCAGACCCCTGCCAGGTGAGCACACGTGTTGTGCTTGGGCTGATGCATGTACTGCATCTGTGTGTTTGTGCGTGGCTGTAAGCATGTGGATGAGTGTGCACATGAGCTGTGTGTTCAAGAGAGTATGTGGGCATGTTTCTGTGTGGGGGCAGAACACAGGGTGCACTTGTGCGAATTCACACCCTCTCCCCTCAGGGCCTGACACTGTGTTGCCATCCCCCAGCCCAGAGTTTGCCTTTCTGTGGTCTCTGTGACCCTGGCTTTGCATGTGGCTTTGTTCTGTCTGGTGGGGGTGGGTGGGCAGCTGGTCTCCTGCTGTGGTCCCATGCAACGGTGACTGATCCCTGGCCACCCATTTAGCTGCCTGGGGGCCCTGGGGCCAGTGTTTGTCCCTTTTCTCCCTAAATGGAGGCGTATGGGGGCTTCCTGCCCAGAGTCGCAACCCTGCCAAGGCGGAGGGAATGGGGAACAGCTGCGTTGGCCGATTCCTGCTCCGTATGGATTTGGTTTGACAACAAAGCTCTCTGTGTGTTCTCAGGCCCTTTGCATAATGGGGGAGGGAGGGCAGCAAGAGAAGATGGAGATGGAGACCAGGAGACACCAAGGTGGGATGGCTAGAAAGGGGACAGGGCCTGGGGAGAGAAGGGTGAGAGACCGTTGAGAGATTGGAACAAGGGGAGAGAGATACTGGTCTTAGCCTCACAGTTCACTTCCTGCCTCCTGGTAGCCAGACCTTAGCCTTGATGCTCTCCCCCTCTCCTTGAGCTCTTCCCACCAGTCCTGCAGATGGGCATGGGACCTGTCTGGGAGTAAGGCCAGGAAGGGTTTGGGGCTGGGCACAAGGAGCAGGTCTTTGATCCCACCCTTTAACTGAACAAATTCCATAATACAGGGAATCATTTTCCTGCTTTGCCCTTGGGCTTCTGTTGCCCGCTTCCAGGCCAGCTCTGCCTCCAGAACCCCGGTGGCCACCCACTTTCTAGGGCTCTGGAGCAGACTAGCACCCCCACCCCCTGTGCCCCACCAGGCCAGCCCCAAGGCCCCTTCCCACCTCCCTCAGGCAACCTCCCATGCTGCTCTCCAAGCCTGGCCACCCTGGTGATGCCCTGTGGCCCTGTGCCCTGCACCCCTCACTGTGATCCGGACCTTCTCTTCTCACTTGCTGTCCCTGCAGCTGTCCAAACAGAGTGGGAACATAATGTTCCCTTTCTGGAACAGCTGGACCGACAGCCCAGCGAGGCCAGGTGAACTGGCCAGGCTTGGTTGTGTGCTACAGCCTGATCCCTCCCTCCTGTCCTGGGAGACAGATACTCAGAAGAGGCCTGGAGGGTTGCTGTTGTCTTCTACCTTCAGATGGGGCCTCTTCCAGATTGTCTTGGGTTTGCTGCTTCTTCATGCCTCAGGATTTTGGAGTCTTTTTCTGGCCCCAGATGTCCCTGGGAAGATCTCTATATTCACATTGGCCCTGAGGGTGGTGGTTGGTCCCCAGAGTGCAAAGATGGACCGGCCATGCTCTTCGAACTTTATCCAGGGCTTGGCTTTCACCTAGCAGGTGTACTTCTGTCCCTTGACTTGACCATTGACAGTGCCCAGAATAGATTTGGGGTCCTTGCCCATGGGGCATTCTGGAGGGCCAAGGACCTGCTGCTCTGGGGAGAGTTGGGTATGGAGTGTAGCCCAGACTTTGGAATCCTTAGGCTCCAGGCTCTGACTCACCTGAGACCTGCCCTCAGGCCACCTCCCCTAGGTCTGGGTGCAGGGAAGATCCTGGAATTGTGCAGCCTCAGGGCTTGGGCCCAGGTATGCATACATAGGAGGGCTAGCTCTGGAGGGCTGAGGAATCTAGGGCTTGGGTGCTCAGTGGTCCCAGAGGACGACCCCTCTCACACTGATAAGGCAAGGTGCAGGGAAGCCTGGCAGATGGTAAGTTTACTGTGGGCACTAGGGCAGGGAGTGCCCTTCACAGGTGGCAGTCTCTGCCGTGTATGTGGCCATGAGCACGGGCTGCAGGCCGAGTTCCACACCTGTGGCTGGGGTGCCTGTCCAGGGCCTCTGCCGGGCATCTTCCCCTGGTTTGCTCTCCTGCAGCGCCCCCACAGCCCACTCCTCAGTAGCTCTGAGTGCCGCCCAATCAGACTCTTTCTGGGAGCTGGGTTCGGCAGGACAAGCCCCCAGAGGGTGGTGTAACCACTGCCTGCTCCTTCGAAGCTCCAGGCTGCCGGGCCCATAGCTCCAGGGACCTGCAGCCTGACAAACAAGCAGCAGCAGCCAGAGCTGGAGCTGAAAGAAACTGGGCAGCACGAAGCCCTGCTGAGGCATGGGGGAAGACAGTGCCCTGGCCAAGGGGGCCCAGCAGGGCCCAGATGCTGTATGTGGGGGTGCGGTGGGGGCAAAGAAGGGGGAGGGACGGGAGGAGTGCATGCATGGGTGTGTGGGGGGGGGCCACTGTGTTCTGGTGTACTCTGAGAAGGGTGTGCAGGTTATTGCTGTGGGGGCCTGAGTGTGAGGTGAGTGTATTCCTGTGACAGGGTCAGCCTGGGAAGGGTCACCTGCGCCTCCTGGCTCTGAGGTGTGATGGGGCTGTGGGGGTTCAGTTATCTCCCCAACTGGATTGGTGAGCCCTGGCTGAAGGTGGTCTGGCCCACTCGCTCTACTCCGTGAAAGAGCTGCTTGGGCTACAGGGTCGGGTCTTTTGGGCCAGCACCTAGCACCAGCCACCTCTCCCCTGCCCTTGTGGTCTACTTAGAGGGTCGAGTGTGTGTGTGAGCATGAGGCTGACGCTGACCAGTTCTCCTGCATGACCTGTGGATGTGAGGCCGCTCAGGAGGGATCTGCGTACCACCTCCATTCCCAGGCTATCCATTGCTGGTGCAGAGAGTAGAGGCTTGCTTTTCTTGCCTAAGTTTTCACTTCTCTTCTAGGAGCTGCACAGCCATACCCACAGGCCTCCATTCCCTTCTGCTCCGGCCCTTTTCCCTTCCCCCGGACTTGGCCCCTTTAACCCTATTGGGCTCCTTGGGATTCAGGGGTAGGTCCTTCCCTTCATTGTCCAGAAACTTCCTTTTTCCTGAATGCATTGCTGCCACAGGCCAGTTTGTCTGTGTGGGATGTTCTGGTGAGGGGTGGAGCGGGTATAAGTTCTAGGGGAATGACTAGGGAGGGAACAGAGGAGAGGGGTTTCTGAGAAGCCCTGCTGCTCCCAGACATGGGATCCTGGGTGGGACAAAGGTGGAATTTTATCCACCTCTGTGGTCCCATGACTGAATATTGCCCTGTACTGTCCCCACTTGGGGTCTTTGGGAGTACAGACTGTCCCCAACTTACAATGGATTGTTTGTTCCTGTAAGCCAGGGTGGCCTTGATCCCTTGCCGCAGCTGGGATTACAGATGTGCACCACCATGCCTAGCTCAATGGATTTTTCTACTTTACTGTAGTTCAAAAGTAATGCACATTCAGTAGAAACTGTACTTAGAATTCTGGCTTTTGTTCTTTTTCTGGGCTAGCAATATGGAGTAGGATTGTCTTGTGAAACTAGGCAGTGGGAGCAAGCTGCAGCTTCCAAACAGTCCTAAAATCACAAGGATGAACCAGTGATACTCTACAGTCGATTGGTGTGCTAAGCTGTGGTACTGGGTAGATTAGAGGCAGTGAGCACAGTTTCCACTTATAATATTTTCAGGTGACAAGGGGCTTCTTGTGAGCCGAAGTGCATCTCTGTCTGCCCTGGAGAGCACATGACCCGCAGAGTGATGAGGGGCTTCTCAGAGAGGGGCACTGCCTGTGGACAGTGGAGAGGCAGTGTCAGGGTCGGGGTCCCATGTCTGACCCAGGCTGAGAGGATTGTGGTCTGAGAGGATAGCAGGTCAGGTGGAATTGGCTAGGGCCTTGGTGCTGTACCAGAAAAGAGAGGCAGAGGGTAACTTCCCAGGTGCCACCCCTCCCCCTCCCCAACCCCGCAGGGCCAGTGAGTGCCCAGGCTTGGCTGTGTTCTTAGGCAATGGAGAAGGTGAATGGTGTCCTTGGGGCTCTGGTCCCCTCAGCTCCTCCTAGGTAGAAAGAAGTGGCACGCTTCATCTGTACATAGGAATAAAAGAGTACTACCACATAAAGCAGTTTAAAATTTAACTTCAGTTATGAACAATAGCTGTGTAACTGCTTGAGGACTTTTAAAAAATTAATCCAGGGCTGGAGATGTAGCTTAATGGAAGAGCACAGGGGTTAGCATTCACAAGGCCCTGGGTTCAATCCCCAGCACTTCGAAACTGAAGGAAAAAAAAACCTCAGAATAACCCAGTGGTGTCAGTCCTCTGCTAATACCCCCCACCCCGAGCCTTCACAAAACCTGTAATACACTCTAGGACCCTTGGGGTGACCTACAGTGTCCTCCACCACCTGGCCCCTGTGGCCTCCCCACACAACTTTTGGTCCTTCCTCAACATCTTCGACCACATCAGACCCGGTTTCTTACATCTGACAAGCATAGGGTCTTTCCATTTCTCTCAGTCTGCAACCTTCTGTCCCCACTCCCTCTGGTCCTTGTGTGGCTGCCTTTCATGTAAGTCTCAGGACAAAACCAGCTTCTCAGGTGGTTCTAACCATCTGGTCACGAAAGAGCTTCCTGGCTCGGTGTAGTGGCACGCACCTATAATCCCAGCACTCTGGGAGACTGAGGCAGGAGGATCCCAAGTTTGAGCCCAGCCTGGGCAACTGAGTCACTTAATGAGAACCTGTTTGCAAATAAAAAAAAAATAAAGAGAGGTGGCTGAGGACGTAGGTCAGTGCAAAGGCCCTGGGTTCCATGTCCAATGTCACTAAAAAAAAAAACCATACTTCTTGATCACTCCATCCCACTTCCCTGAGATACTGTTTGTTATTATTATATGGTTCCCATAATCTCTTCTCTGTTTGTCACATGTCCGTTCCTACGTGGGTATAAAGTCCACAGTGTGGGCCCATCACTGTTTTTACTGTACTGTAGCAGTTTGTAAAGCAGTCCATTGCATGCAGTAGGTCC